TTTGCCCTGTTCACTCCTTCTTGTATTTATAAGAGATGTTATCTGGAGTAGGGCAATTCTTTTTAAATAATGGGCGGCAATTTCTTAAAAAAGATCTTTCATTTTTAATTGTAAAGAAAGGGGGTTTTGATCAATTTTTTGGTAGGTAAGCTCTCAATAGTCAGTTCTTAAGATCACTTCCCTGTTTTTCTTGAAAAAGAACCTAATCTCTTTTCCCAATTTTAACTGCCTCTTGTGAGATTTCATTCATGATGGTTAGTTTGATTTCTTCAGTTTGAACAACTGCCTGCTCTCTTGCTTATCTCTTTCTGAGATTGTAGCTTGCTTATCTCCTGAGAGAATCACCTTTTCTGTAAAGTAGAAAAAATCTCTAAATATATATATATATATATGTGAGAGGGATTTGATCTTCAGATTTTCGGAAGTGTCTCCTCTAGTTTGCCAGCCACTGACCGTTCCATTTATCAACTGAATTGTGAAGCATAAGAAACATAAGCCAGACTTTTTCCATTCACGTCAAGATAAAAGTTTTCACTGTCTGCAGATTACTGCACTTTAAACTTCCTTGCCTAACTTCTATGGTTTTTACTTCCCTTTTATATTATGCTTGGAATACATTATAAATAAAATATGAAGTATGATGGCAACGATGTAAAAACATAGGAACATTATGACCTCTTATATCTTACTGGTCATTGAAGTTTAAAATTGGGTTTTACACATAGATTTATAGAATGATGGGCATATGTCTAGGAAATAAAAATTGTAAGGACCTATATTGGACAAACCCTAAATTTTATAAAGAAACCACAAAAAGGCACAACAATACAACAAAAAGTAAAATCCAACCAAGCTCAACAAAAAGGATGTAATTTTTGAGTGGAAAATGTTGGGAACACAGACTTATATCATGATTTGATTTTTCTTTGGCCTACAAATCAATTCTTTTGACTTTGTCACTCAAATTGTACAAATATAGTTGTGTGGCTTTTAAAAGGCAACGTGACGTGTGGGATGGGCTGCCAATTTTGAAACTTATTAGCTTCTTTGAGAAGCAGGTGCATCATTTATGCATGTGGGGAACACTCGGCGGATTGATCCATCAGAGAAGACAAAATAATGGTGTCATTCAGACAGGCTTGGGCAATTGATCCGACAACAAGTCTTTTAGTCATTTGCCAAGTTGGTCCCTTCAGCCTCGTTCGTTACGGAAGATTGTCTTGGCATGAACTATTCTCAAAATTTGTCTTCACTAGAATTGGCTTAAGTTGAATAACACTTAACCGATGTTTGGTGATGCTTGGATTGTGACTAAATTTAAATTAATTAAAATATCAATAAATAGGATGATATATTTCAATTTCTGTTCTTCTGTACAAACATGGGTTAAAAATATTCCAAAGTTTTATTTAATAAGGTTTATACGGGTTTTAAATTTGAGGGCATTTGTGTCTATTTAAGTGAGTTTTTTGCTATATTTGAAAAAAATATTTTATAGAAACTGACATTTTTGAAAATAAGGATCAAATTTTGTCTATTTTGTTAAATTCTCTTTCACTGAGGTGTTGGTGGAAAACATTAATCCTTTCACTTATTTTTGACTCAGGTGTTGATTCGAAAATCGTGAATTTGTTAAACTTAAAACTATTTCTTTCCGGATTAGGTCAAAAAAGAAAAAACTCACTCTCTGACAATATCTCCAATGTGGTCAAAAAAGAAATAATTCACTCTCTCTGTCTCTCCCTGTCTCTCATTATTTGGTTTCTACAGTCCCCTGTCTTTAATCTAAACTTTCTGAATTAACTTGGGTAAGCAAACATGGACAAAAGACCCTCCCAACTCAGATTACTTTGATTTTGCAATGTGAATGCAATTCTATTAGAAAGGAGAGACGCTTGTTAAGCACCAAGCGATTCTACTAGGGGTGGTTGCGGTTCGGTAACCGCGAATTTTTACTCAAACCCCAAACCGACCGACTATTTGCGGTTTGGTGATTTTTGAAACCGCAAACCGACCGCGTTTTGCGGTTTACCGGATTGCGGTAAACCGCAAAATGCGGTCGGTTACCGCGAATTAGCGGTTTAAAACCGCAAGTTTTCAAGCATTCACAAAAATATAAATTCACAACCTAAATAAATAAATACACAACCTCAATTTCTTAAGCATATATAAATTCACAATCTCCTCAACTTCTCAAGCATTCACAACCTAAGAAAATTAAAGTTACAATTCCAAGCATTCCAATTAAAGTTAAACTTCTCAAGCATT